CTGCTGAAGTATGAAGAGTCTGTGGCCTTTCACCTACCTGGGACTGTGTAAGCAGGATGGGCAGGACATCTGGTTTGTGGGACCCAGAGACTATATTGCCCTCATAGTACAGAGGAAGACTCTGAGACCAGAGAGGCCACAGAACAGACCCAAGGGCACATAATAGGGCTAGGATCCAAATCCAGACCCCAATCCATGCTCACGTGTGGCATCTGCTATCTCATTTAATCTTAACAAGTCTGGCACCTGAAGGGTTCATTGGCCTTCTCATGCACAGATGAGGAATAGAGACCCCTTAAAGTTCTCCCAAAGTCAAAGCTAGAAAGGGGCAGAAGCAGAATCTGGGCTGGGTCTGTTGGAGCCCTCTTTTCAGGACCACAGGCGGCAGCTGGATGGTAGACAAGGGGATTAGGAATATAGTCTAAGGGGTGGCGGCCATGTCCTCAAGGACCACACAACTAGGCATTTCCATCAGCTGGAGCATTCCCTTGAGCACCCGTGGGCCATACCACATTGCTCTCCTCAGGCCAGCATGCATTTATCGAGCACTTACTCTGTGCCAGGCACTGTGGGCAGGGTGGCCAGGTATCATCTGTCCTGGAGTAATTCATGGCCTGGTGACCTCAGAGGGCACAGATGACTTCCAACATCCCTCCCAAGGCTAGCCATCTGTGGGCTTACTGGTTTCATGAACACCTACTGTATGCATGATAGGAAAAACTGACAGGTAGGAGATGCCAAAGCCCTTGCCAGTTTGTGGTCTGGTTTCTGAGGCCCTGGGCATCCTCATTAATGTCATCTCTTGCTCCTCCCTAGACACCCCCACCCCACAAGGGTGGCTGAGCAGATAGGCCAGTTTTCCTGTGTCCAAGGACTGGCTATACGCCCTAACCCTTGCCTGTAGCCTCGTCCATCCATCCCACCGCTGATTCACACCTGGGATGCCATCTGAAGAGGCCTCACTCCAAGGCCACAACACAGTCCTCAGGGTCCCCAGAGTTTCCCTGTGGACTGAGCTAGGCAGTCTCCTGTCAGAGGTGGGCTTCAAGTCTGGAAACCCTAAGGTCTGTCTGGGAAGTGGGGGGCAGACAACACACACACACCATCTTCCCTA